TGATTTAGTTGATAATAGATAATATTGAGTACTCGGGAGGAATTTTGTGAACGATTCCGACCAAAAGCAAAATTAACGCAGAATTTAGGTCGAGTAGATCATTTTGTTGTCAGAATTATTAATTTATGAGTTATAAGGAGGAATATATGTCACCACAAACAGAGACTAAAGCACGTGTTGGATTCAAAGCGGGTGTTAAAGATTACAAATTGACTTATTATACTCCTCATTACGAAACCAAAGATACTGATATCTTGGCAGCATTTCGAGTCACTCCTCAGCCTGGAGTTCCCCCTGAAGAAGCGGGGGCCGCGGTAGCTGCGGAATCTTCTACTGGAACATGGACAACCGTGTGGACCGATGGACTTACCAGCCTTGATCGGTACAAGGGCCGATGCTATCGCATTGAGCGTGTTATTGGAGAAAAAGATCAATATATTGCTTATGTAGCTTACCCTTTAGACCTTTTTGAAGAAGGTTCTGTTACGAACATGTTTACTTCGATTGTAGGTAATGTATTTGGTTTTAAAGCACTCCGCGCTTTACGTCTCGAAGATCTTCGAATACCTCCAGCTTATACTAAAACTTTTCAAGGTCCGCCTCACGGCATCCAAGTTGAGAGAGATAAATTGAACAAGTATGGGCGTCCTCTCCTGGGATGTACTATTAAACCCAAATTGGGGTTATCCGCTAAAAACTACGGTCGAGCGGTTTATGAATGTCTTCGTGGTGGACTTGATTTTACCAAAGATGATGAGAATGTAAACTCACAACCCTTTATGCGTTGGAGAGACCGTTTCTTATTTTGTGCCGAAGCAATTTATAAATCCCAGGCTGAGACAGGTGAAATAAAAGGACATTACTTGAATGCTACTGCAGGTACATGCGAAGAAATGCTAAAAAGAGCTTTCTTTGCTAAAGAATTGGGAGTTCCTATTATAATGCATGACTACTTAACAGGGGGATTCACTGCAAATACTTCTTTGGCTCATTATTGCCGTGATAATGGTCTCCTTCTTCACATCCACCGTGCAATGCATGCAGTTATTGATAGACAAAAAACTCATGGTATACACTTCCGCGTACTAGCGAAAGCGTTACGGCTATCCGGTGGAGATCATATTCACGCGGGTACTGTAGTAGGTAAACTAGAAGGGGAAAGAGAGATGACTTTGGGCTTTGTTGACTTATTACGCGATGATTTTGTTGAACAAGACCGAAGTCGTGGTATTTATTTCACTCAAGATTGGGTTTCTTTACCCGGTGTTATGCCTGTGGCTTCTGGGGGTATTCACGTTTGGCATATGCCTGCTCTAACCGAGATATTTGGGGATGATTCCGTACTACAGTTTGGGGGAGGAACTTTAGGTCACCCTTGGGGTAATGCGCCTGGTGCCGTAGCGAATCGAGTCGCTCTCGAAGCATGTGTACAAGCTCGTAACGAAGGACATGATCTTGCTCAGGAAGGCAATGAAATTCTTCGACAGGCTAGTAAATGGAGCCCTGAACTAGCTGCTGCTTGTGAGGTATGGAAGGAGATTCAATTTGACTTTAAACCAGTGGATACCTTAGATCCAAATGAGAAGAAAGAAAGATATACTAAGGAGGCTCCTGCAGGAGATAAATACAGATAACTTATTCGGGAATGGGTAGAGGGAATTCAAGCAATTACTAACCCCCTTCTCTTCTGAATTGCAATTAAATTCGGCCCAATCTTTTACTAAAATCACTCAAATACTAAAAAAAGTAAACAGATTGAGCCGGATATCTATACATATTAATGAACTTCTTATTTATATTTGGGTATAGGTAGGCAAGAACAAATAGTTAAATTTGGTAATTGGGGTAGAGTTATATAAAAGGCAATTCCATTTTTGGATACTCATACCCATTATTTTAGGCAATAGCCTTAATGCTTGGGTTTCTCTTTTTATTCTGATAGTTGTTCAAAAAGAACTTGTGTTTTTTTATTTTGAGTTTAGGAATATTTTATATCAAACGACTATTCCATGTATTGCTATTTTATTTTCTATTGTATTTTCATGCATTGTATTTTCATGCAAAAAACAAGGGGCAAAAATTATGGAAATGTGGGGGGATAATTCATTGGATAAGAAATTTGAACGTGGATGGGGGCTAACTCAATCAATGGATGGTGTTAGCCGTCCTATTGAAGAAAATAGCAGGCAAAATGAAGATACGAAGAAGCAAGATATGTTTGAAAACATTCAGACTTGGGAGGATCGTGACAATTACGGTTGCAGTAATGTTGATTCTGTCTTCGAGTTAAACTATAGTGAAAGTGTCATCAAAGATGACACTTTTCTAGTTAGCGATAGTACTGGAAATAATTATTGCATCTATTTTAATATTGAAAATTATATTTTTGAAACAAAAAATCCTCACTCTTTCTTTAGTGAACCTTTTTATCTTTCTTCGAATTCAAGCAATCTCACTCAAATGAATGAAGTGAGTAACGAATCTAACTCTCAGATTGAGATTGCTCAGTCCGTTGAAAATTCTATTAAGTTGCAAATAGAGCGAACTACTATCACTACTAATGAAAATGATAGTACTGACAGTTTCAGTAATGAGTCCGTTGTTGATGGTGAAAGCTGCAATAGGAGCGAAGTCGAGAGTTCAAGTAGACAAACTCACATTGGGAGAGAATATCCTAAATTTAACCATTTGTGGCTTCTATGCGAAAATTGTGATACATTATATTATAAAAAACTTATTAAATTAAAACAGTATATTTGTGAAGAATGTGGAGATTATTTGCAACTGAGTAGTTCAGATAGAATTGATTTTTTGATCGATGAGAAAACGTGGGCTCCTTTCGATGAAGACATTCTTTCTCGGGACCCCATTCAATTTGATGAAGACTCTTCTGAAGAATCATCGGAATACCCTTATGAAGACTTTTCAGAAGACTCTTCTGAAGAATCGTTGGAATACCCTTATGAAGACTTTTCAGAAGACTCTTCTGAAGAATCGTCGGAATACCCTTATAAAGACCCTTCTAAATACTTTTATCAAGTATTTTCTAATTATGAAAACTCTTATGAAGAGGATCTTGATTTTTATCAAATAGAAACAGGCTTAACCGAAGCTGTTCAAACAGGTCTAGGCCAAGTCAACGGTATTACTGTAGCAATAGGGGTTATGGATTTTAAGTTTATGGGGGGTAGTATGGGATCCGTAGTCGGAGAGAAAATAACCCGTTTAATTGAGTACGCTACAGAAAATTTTTTGCCTCTGATTATAGTGTCGGCGTCCGGGGGTGCGCGAATGCAAGAAGGAAGTTTAAGTTTGATGCAAATGGCTAAAATATCATCTGCTTTATACAATTATCAATCGAAGAAAAGATTATTTTATATATCAATCCTTACATCTCCTACAGCTGGTGGAGTAACAGCGAGTTTCGGTATGTTAGGGGATATTATCATTGTTGAACCTAATGCTTACATTGCATTTGCAGGCAAAAGAGTAATTGAACAAACATTAAATCAAACCATACCTGACGAGGCACAAGAAGCTGAATTTTTATTTGAGAAGGGTTCATTTGACTTAATTGTACCACGTCATCTTCTAAAAAGCGTTATTAGTGAGTTATTTACGTTTCATGACCGGGGCACTTTCTTTCATTCAAAGTTCAAATTCATTTGAACTTTGAGTGAAAGAAAATAATTATATTGATTTTAGATTGATATAAATAGTTAGATAAAAACTCACAGATACAAATAAATATAGTAAAAAAAATACCTTTTCTATGAGTGACTTTCCGTCTCTTTTTATACCATTAGTAGGCTTAGTATTGCCGGCAATTGCAACGTTTTATTTATTTATTACTGTTCAAGAAAAATAAAAATTTTTAGATATTTTATATATTGAGATCCTCCCTTTTTTGTAAGTTGCTTTTTTTTGTATCATAACAGGAAGATCTGTGGAATCATATTGACTTAAGGCGTTATTTTTTTCTATCTAACCAAGTTTATGAATTACCCCTAAAGGTTTACATCAAACTAGTGCTAGATTCTCATCAAACAAATATTCGTTTGATGAGAATTACTTTTGAAATAGCAAAGTTCCTAATTAATGGTTTTTTTCTTAATTCCAATAAAATAAAATAAAATCGGATGTAATATGAGTTGGCAATCAAAACATATATGGATCGAACTTAGACCTGGGTCTAGAAAAATAAGTAATTTAGGTTGGGCTTTTACTCTTTTTTTAGGTTCATTGGGATTCTTATTAGTAGGAACTTCCAGTTATCTTGGTATAAATTGGATATCCTTTTTTTCAGCCCAGCAAATTCTTTTTTTCCCACAAGGAATAGTCATGTCATTCTACGGAATTGCGGGTCTTTTTATTAGCTCGTATTTGTGGTGTACTATTTTATGGAATGTTGGTAGTGGTTATGATCAATTCGATAGAAAAAGGGGAATTTTTTGTATTTTTCGTTGGGGATTCCCTGGAATAAATCGGCGCATTTTCCTCCGATTCAATATAAAAGATATAAGGTCTATTCGAATAGAAGTGAAAGAAGGTATTTATGCTCGTCGTGTCCTTTATATGGACATCCGAGGCCAGAGGGCTATTCCTTTGACTCGTACTAATGAGAATTTCACCCCGGGAGAAATTGAAAAAAAAGCTTCAGAATTGGCCTATTTTTTGCGTGTACCGATTGAAGTATTTTGAGAAGGGGGCTACACCTCTTTTCAGTTACTTTTTTTCTATTTTTATATATTTTCTATTTATTTTTCCAATTGCATTTTTTACTAAGACTCAGGAATACTAATTAGCCAATTGACCAGGCAGTTTTTTATTAGCACAAGCAAATCCCCTAGGAAGTTTAAGTATTCTATTGCTTACTATTTCATTCTAAATATTTAAATATCTAAACATTCAGTAATTTTTTTCTTTTTATTTTAATTGAAAGATTTGTATCGGATATCTGAATTTCATCTGTATTCTTTCTAGATTCAAAGACTGGCCAAAAAATCACAACAAAAATCAATACATACTTTAATATACCTTATACCTTGTAAAAGTAAAAACTCATATATGGTGGGTTCATGAAAAATAAAAATAAAGTATTCACTCCTCTTTTATATCTTGCATTTGTAGTCTTTTTGCCCTGGTGGATTTATTTCTTATTGAATAAATGTCTGGGATCTTGGATTACTAATTGGTGGACTACTAGGCAATCCGAAAGTTTCTTCAATAATATTAATGAAAAGAGTCTTCTGGAAAAATTTATTGAATTCGAGGAATTTCTATTATTGGACGAAATAGTTAAAAAAGACGTGGAGACACACCCACAAGAATTTATTATAGGAATCCATAAACAAGCAATTCAATTAATAAAGATACAAAAATATAGTGATATCCATCTTATTTTTCGTTTAGCGACAAATCTAATCTGTTTTTTTTATTCTAAGTGTTTCTGCTATTTTGCGTAATGAAAACCTAAGTCTTCTGAACTCTTGGGCTCGGGAATTCTTATATAACTTAAGCGACACAATCAAAGTATTTTGCATTCTCTTATTAACTGATTTATGTATCGGATTCCATTCACCCCGCGGTTGGGAATTTATAATTACCTTTATTTCTAAAGATTTGGGATTTTGTGATAATGATTTAATTATCTCTGGTCTTGTTTGCACCTTTCCAGTCATTCTAGATACAATTTTTAAATATTGGGTTTTCCGTTATTTAAATCGTGTTTCTCCGTCACTTGTAGTTCTTTATCATTCATTGAATGAATGATTGAAGACTCTATGGGATTCATAATTCAATTTGAAGATTAATTTTTTTCTGTTTTTCTATTGTAAATAAGCGAAGCATTAAAAATATTACTTCATTACTTATTTTATAGAACTATTTTTTTTATATTTTATTCCATCAAATAGCAGAATCCTGGGTAGCAAACTATACTAGTGACCTACCCCATTTTATTGTATCAATTTTGCAATCAACGATTCGACTATGCAAACTCGAAATCATTTTCTTTGGATAAATAAACAGATTACTCGATTGATTTCCGCATTGATCATGTTATATATCATAACTCTGACATCCATTTCAAATGCATATCCTATTTTTGCACAGCAGAGTTATGAAAATCCACGAGAAGTAACTGGCCGTATTGTATGTGCCAATTGCCATTTAGCTAATAAGCCCGTGGAGGTTGAGGTACCGCAAGCGGTACTTCCAGATACTGTATTTGAAGCAGTAGTGCAAATTCCTTATGATATGCAACTTAAACAAGTTCTTTCCAATGGTAAAAAAGGGGGGTTGAATGTGGGGGCTGTTCTTATTTTACCGGATGGTTTTGAATTAGCCCCTACAGATCGGCTTTCTCCCGAGATGAAAGAAAAAATAGGCAATTTGTCTTTTCAGAGCTATAGACCCTCGAAAAAAAAATATTGTTGTGGTGGGCCCTGTTCCTGGTCAGAAATATAGTAAAATAACCTTTCCCATTCTATCTCCCGATCCTGCTACTAATAAAGATGCTCATTTCTTAAAATATCCTATATATGTGGGTGGAAACAGGGGAAGAGGCCAAATTTATCCCGACGGTAGCAAGAGTAACAATACTGTTTATAATGCTACAGCAACAGGTAGAGTTAGCAAAATAATAAGAAAAGAAAAAGGGGGTTATGAGCTAACCATAACGGATCCATTGGATAGTCGTCAAGTGATCTATATTATCCCTCCTGGACCAGAACTTCTTGTTTCAGAAGGGGAAGATATCAAATTTGATCAACCATTAACGAATAATCCTAATGTGGGGGGATTCGGTCAGGGAGACGCGGAAATAGTACTTCAAGATCCATTACGTGTCCAAGGACTTTTGTTATTTTTGGCGTCTGTTCTTGTGGCACAAATATTTTTGGTTCTGAAAAAAAAACAGTTTGAAAAAGTTCAATTGTCCGAAATGAATTTATAGACTTGTAGCATTAGCAATCTAAAAAGAGACGATTCAGTGTTATCCATAATAGACGATTCAGTGTTATCCATAATATATAATTAAATTAAAGTCAAATTCTCAAAAACCTTTAATATCTTTATACTATTATACTATATTTGCCAAATTTTATACTAACTGCTGGGAATTTCCGGTCATAGATCATAGTATGTCTATTTTTACTTTTATATTTTAAAGAAGATTTTTGGCATAACTCTCTATTTCATAGTTTTCTATTTCAAATTAAAGTAAAAATTAAAGTAAATTAGAATAGATTTTGCGTCTTCCTCTTTTTACTTTATCAATACAGGAAAAAAGAGAAAGTAAGGGGAGGAGGTATATATAATATTGGTTCAAGATTTAGAGTATTGGTTTCTAGTTTTGAGGCGTATTTTTATACCTCATTTTGAAAATGAAGAAAAAAGATTTTATATATTCTATTATTATAATTATATAATATATAATAATAGAATATATAAAATGAAATGATCGAACTTAAGATCTATATTTTTTATAGCAGCCTAGCACTTTATTCTTTGTACTTAAAGTACTCAAATGAAAATATCAATCTATACGGTAATAGAGACCAGGCCTTCTGAATAAATCACTGAGATTTATAGAAAAAAACTTTTTTTATTTTGTGAATAAAAGAGTCTTCAGAACTCAACGTGATTTAAAAGCAAATCACGTTGAGTTCTGAAGACTCTTTTATACCTCGAACTTAATTGATCCGATTACTACAGGGATGAACCCAATCCAGAATATGAACCATAAAAGAAAATACCTATTAAACCTATTACAACAATACCTGTTAGAGTACCTATTATCCAAAGAGGAATCCTTCCAGTAGTATGGGTCATTGATCCCACTTACCCCTCACACTTCATAACGTGGTCATGCTAGAGACATAAACAGTCATGGATAATTATAATATGAGATCCTTCCGATTGGGCTAAGAGAATGCCTATCGCTTTGAGGTATTCTCTTTTATTAATCCTAATTGAAGAAATAATTTGGAAAATAAAACAGCAAGTACAAAAATAAGTAATAATCCCCAGTACAGACTGGTACGATTTAATTCAACGTTTTGCTCGTTTGGATTTGATTGTGTCATAGCTCTATAATTCGGAGTAATTTGATCATTCAATTTATCGTTGAATAAACTGCATTGCGGAAATTTGAGCCCAAAAAAAAGACAGTAGGTACAGCGAGGCCATGAACAGCTAACCATCGTACTGTAAAAATTGGATAGGTTCGATCTATAGTCATTGGGACCTCCTACGGAAAACGATCTAGGAAATTAATAGAGTTGTTCCAAAGGATCAAAACGGCCAGTTATTAATGGAATTCCTTGCCGGTTCTCTGTAAAGTACTCGTTTGGCCGTGGACTTCCAAACACATCGTAAGCTAAACCGGTGCTGACGAATAACCAGCCCGCAATGAATAGAGAGGGTATAGTAATGCTATGAATGACCCAATATCGAATACTAGTAATAATATCAGCAAAGGAGCGTTCTCCTGTGTTTCCAGACATATTGAACTCCGCATATTCTTGTACATTTTAAAAGTGCCGATTCCTTAATAGCATCTTTTTTATTTTTAATATTATCAATATTGTACCGAGGGCGTCTTTTCTTGAGAGTATACCCAATCAGTATAGCATCCTGCTTCTGACGCAGCAACGCATTTTAAATTGAAAGTAAGTGCTCAATTTTTTATTTATTTATTGACTCTTTCACTATTAACGTAAAAATAAGGTTCTATTCAATTTTATTGAATAGAATTCAATAGAAAAGAAAAGCCCTTGACTCAATGAAATGAAATAGAGGCGCGATTTATCAAAAAACCTGCCTTTTTTCGTTGGTTGGAGAAGCGGTTGTTTTTATGTAATCTTAATATACCCCTTCCTTTTTCCTATGGATTTCAAATATTTGAACATGAAATAATTCTTTGGTCCAGTAACCAAAGCTTAAAATTTAGATCCTTTTTTCTCTAAAAAAATAGACTTCGGTAAATGCTTTATAAACATATGTCCCATTTATAAACACAAGATATTAAAAGTAGCCTCTATCATGCTTACTATAACTAGTTATTTTGGTTTTCTCGTGGCAGCTTTCACTCTAACCTCAGCTCTTTTTATTGGTTTGAGCAAGATACGAATTATTTAAAATTGAAATTAAAGAATATCTTCATTAATATAAAATCTGTTAGGGGCTTCTTTTTCTGTTTAGTCTAGAGTTACTTTCAGTTACTTGTTGCACTAATTATAAATTGCTTTTAATAAAATAAAATAATAAAATATTGGTTATTTAGATTCATGTAAATTTCTATGAATATTTTGATATAGATATCACTTTTTTTTTTATTTAACACAAATAATGGAATAATGGAAGTTTTTATATTGGGAATCCTATTAGGTATAATTCCTATTACTTTGGCAGGTTTATTAATAACTGCATATTTACAATACAGGCGTGGGGATAAGTTAGAACTTTAATTCATAATTTAATGAATAGATCGTTTTTTTATCTCTTCCCTTTCATCCCCAAGGATGAAATTTTGGATTGCTGTTCACATGACGGAATCTAGTGAAGTATTATTTATTAATTAATAATAATTAAGTCGAGAATAAAAAAACACGCTCTGTAGGATTTGAACCTACGACATTGGGTTTTGGAGACCCACATTCTACCAAACTGAACTAAGAGCGCTTTTTTTATCAGAATATAGAGTTTTTTCGTAAGTAGAATTCCAAAGATTTTTAGACTTGTATTAGAAACTAGTATTACTAATATTCTAATACTACTCCAACCCTAGAGTATGCCTCCTTTGAAGCGATTTCGCTAGATGATCTCTTACTCTTCAAAGGAGAGCGTTTATTAAGTAGGGATGACAGGATTTGAACCCGTGACATTTTGTACCCAAAACAAACGCGCTACCAAGCTGCGCTACATCCCTTCAAATGTTATCCAATATATGAGAATTAGGGCATAATTGATTATAAAATAAGTCGCATAATTTCATTTTTTCATTAGTTGTATAATCTTTATATATCTGTTATCTATTATAGTTTTCGATCTTTCTATATCCTTCTTTATTTATAATTTATACAAAAAAAAAAATAAAAGGTGGGGCCTTTACCTACATCTAGATCTGATAATATATGTACTATAACTATTGAGTAAAAATCAATTTTAAAAGGAAAGGAGGTTTTTTGATGCGATATTTTAAAACATATCTCTCTGCGGCACCAGTAATAATTACGCTCTCATTAGGAGCTTTAGCAGGTCTATTGATAGAAATAAATCGGTTTTTCCCGGATGTGTTGACATTCCCCTTTTTTTAATTCTAGTTATTTAATTGACTTTATAGAGCAAGGCATGAAGAAGACTAGAAGTACCATCAAACATACTTAAATATAGAAGGACCACTTCAGTATACGTAAAAATTCCCTCCTTCACTTTTCTTTGATTAACGGAGGAAAGATAAACGAAAGGAAAGATAAATAAAAAAGAGGGATTCAAGGTTTGGGCTCAAGGTCAATTACAAGGTCAATTAAATTACTCTTCTATTAATACTTCTAGGGGTGGCATTAGTCAATAACCTAAAAATTTGACTGACCAAAATAAAACAAAATAAAAGGAGATTCATGACCAATAAGAAAGATGTACGAGGACCCGTAATTTTGGAATGTACCAGTTGTTTACAAACCGGTGGTAATAAAATTAAAATATCAATAGGTATTTCTAGATATATTACTCAAAAGAACCGGCACAATACACCCAATCGATTAGAATTGAAAAAATTCTGTCGCCGTTGTTACAAACATACGATTCATGTAGAAATTAAAAAATAAATAGGTATTTTAAAAAGTAGTGGGAAAATAAAACAACATTTTTAGTCTGAATTGACAAGGAAACTTAATTCTAATTCAAAACAAATTCTATTCGTATATTTCAGTAGACGGAATAAACAAATTATGGATAAACCCAAGCGACCCTTTATGAAATCTAAGCGATCTTTTCGTAGGCGTTTGCCCCCGATTAAATCGGGGGATCGAATTGATTATAGAAACATTAGCTTAATTAGTCGATTTATTAGTGAACAAGGAAAAATATTATCGAAACGCGTGAATAAATTGACCTTAAAACAACAACGATTAATTACTCTTGCGATTAAACAAGCTCGAATTTTATCTTTGTTACCCTTTATGAAAAGGAAAGGATCTGAAAGAGGGGAGTCGACCAAGCGAACTAGTAAAGCTAGAAATCAAAATAAACAAAAGAAATATCAAAGTAATCGAAATAAATCACTAAATAAAAATAAATAAATAGACTTATTGGACTTGATTGAGAATTGCAATCAGTTCTAACAGAACTAAAATGGGAATTAGTGTTTTGCTCTAAAAAGACGCGAATCTAGATTTAAGTTCTTTATTTATCATTTTTTATAATAAATAAGAAAAAACTGTCCCGGAGTTCATTCTCCGGGAACTCTTTTTGAATTCTTCCAGTATCTACTTTATGTTTAGAATCTCGTTTGAAATCATATAAACGCATTTCCTATTTAATATTGCGATTTGGGCAAGTATTTTACGGTTAAGAAGTAATTGGTTATGGTACAAATCATGTATGAATTTACTATAACTATAGGATACTCCTTTTTCACGACTTACTGCATTTAGTCGAGTGATCCACAAACGACGAAAATCTCTCTTTTGTATATCCCTATCCCGAGTAGCTGAAACAAATGCTCTGATTGCCTGTTGATTAATAGTTCGAATAAGTGTTGAATGAGCCCC